ATTGTATATTTTTTCCTTAGTTAATCTTAGCAAGTCAATTGTATCTTATTTTTTAGAAATTTATTTCTACAACACTACTGTTATATATTCTCTGTAATAACCCAAATATTTTTATTTTATTTTATTTTTTTTTTAGAATTACGATTATTGTAAAGTGCCATTGAGCTCACGAAAATTGCGCTATATAAATTCTTGCACTATTATTATTATTATTATTATTATTATTATATAGTGAAACTGTGACCCTTGTATACCATTTGATGCACCTGTCCCCAAATAGTGCTTTCCACCAGAAAAACCAATCAATCTGGCATCAGTTTTTCAAAAGTGGAAAGTGCTATCCACAACTGGATAAATCACTATCTGGTGAATAATGCAATAAATAGGTTTGCTTAATACTCTTGTCCCCTGGATAGTGATTTGTGTGGTGGGTAAAGCACAAGCCAACTTTTGAACAACCAGGGCCTGACAATGTGGAACAAGTTTCTTGTCCACAAGGAAACAACAAAATATGAAGCATGATGCATGATATTTTACCCTGAGTAGTTAATGAGCCAGACTTATTAACCACCAGACAATAAACATCTGAACAAAACATCTGATAAGCTGCATTTTAAAAGCAATTTTTCTTTTTATCTGAACCTACCAATACAAGAAGAAGCAGATAAATGCTATTGTGACAGCCAACCAGCCAAGTAACTTTTCATGTTTACTTGCTCCATGGACAAGGCCCAGCTATAAGTCATCTTCTAACTAAATGATAAACTAAGACATTACACATGGGTGAAGAAACTGCCCTGGGCAAGCAAAATTCGAGCCCGGCTGCTTGTAGTTCTGAAATTCAATTTTTCTTCAAGCCCCCTTATAATTTTATACATTTTTTTTGGCAGCACACGGAGCTTTTCCAGGATATCTTGTATCAAAAGAACCCTCTAGTATTGAAGTATTACTAAGTATTCCTGGATAGTGCACTTTTCTATCACAAGGTTAGCTCACCTATATTTCTACTTCAATAGTGAATACACTGAAGTCTCTAATAATGCTAGAAATATAGGTGTAATTTTTGATTCCCACGTCAACTTAGAGAAACATGTTATGAACACCTGCAAAACGGCCTTCTATCATTTACGAAATATAGTAAAGATAAGAAACTATCTCTCTCAGGATAATGCTGAGACTCTTGTTCATGCATTTATTTCGTCTAAGCTGGATTTCTGTAATGCTCTTCTATATGGCCTACCTCAATCGGTTATTGATAAGCTACAGTATGTACAAAACTGCACAGCTCGACTGGTGACTAGGACTCGAAGCTCAGAACATATAACACCAGTTCTTTGTAGACTACACTGGCTATACCAGTCAGACAACGAATTACGTACAAAATACTACTTCTTATGTACAAGGCACTGAATGGCATGGTGCCAAAATATAGAGCAGATCTCCTTCAGCCCTGTACTCCTACAAGGCAATTACGATCTTCTTCAAAAAATCTGCTTGTAACACCAAAGTCTAATCTCAAGTTTTACGGTGACAGATCTTTTCAAGTTGCTGAGCCCAGGTTCTGGAACTCCCTAACCGATGACATAAGATCAATCCAGAACCTTGATGTTTTTAAGAATAAGATTAAAACACTACTTTTTAGAGAGGCTTTTATTAGTTAGTTGCCACCCTTTTTCTCTTTTATTGTATATTTTTTCCTTAGTTAATCTTAGCAAGTCAATTGTATCTTATCTTTTAGAAATTTATTTCTACAACACTACTGTTATATATTCTCTGTAATAACCCAAATATATATATTTTTATTTTTTATCTTTTTTAGAATTACGATTATTGTAAAGTGCCATTGAGCTCACGGAAATTGCGCTATATAAATTCTTGCACTATTATTATTATTATTATTATTATATAGTGAAACTGTGACCCTTGTATACCTTTTGATGCACCTGTCCCCGAATAGTGCTTTCCACCAGAAAAACCAATCAATCTGGCATCAGTTTTTCAAAAAGTGGAAAGTGCTTTCCACAACTGGATAAATCACTATCTGGTGAATAATGCGATAAACAGGTTTGCTTAATACTTGTCCGCTGGATGGTGATTTATGTGGTGGATAAAGCACAAGCCAACTTTTGAACAACCAGGGCCTGACAATGTGGAACAAGTTTCTTGTCCACAAGGAAACAACAAAATATGAAGCATGATGCATGATATTTTACCCTGAGTAGTTAATGAGTCAGACTTATTAACCACCAGACAATAAACATCTGAACAAAACATCTGATAAGCTGCATTTTAAAAGCAATTTTTCTTTTTATCTGAACCTACCAATACAAGAAGAAGCAGATAAATGCTATTGTGACAGCCAACTGACAGAGAAGTATGGCATAGACCTACAACATTAAATCATGAATTGTGTCAATATTTACTATGGTTTTCATGAGTGCTCCAGAGCACTCCAGCTGAAGCAAAAAGTTTAATCAGATGGTTGACAAAAAAATCAAATGAAGACAATTAGTTTAAGGTTAGATTAGGTGATCAGTTCTTAAACTTGAAAGAAATCTCAGCAGAATCGAATGGCAGTGTCAAAGTTCATATATATTTTCATAGGTGGGGATGTGAACAACCCAAAACCAGCAGCTGGCAGTGGCCCCTTTGAAAGCTGACATCCAAACTTACCGTAAATCCTCTATTAAGCCCCCCCCTTATTTTCACCCCCCCTCTCTATTAAGCTCTCATGTCATTATGTCCAAGTCATCACGTTGCTATTATGTTGTTATGCCTATGTTCACACTACAAACAGAAGGACATAACACCCTGCTAATGTCGCTTTGTCATTTAATGTGGCATGTGTAAACCAGTCTTTGGGGATATACCCTATTTGTATAAGACAAGCGTGAATATATCTTTCTACCTTAACACTTTTCTCAGGACAATTTTTTGTCTCCATATTCCAAGAAGTACAATCATCTAGTAGCCAATGGCCTAACCTGTGAAAACAGCTGTCTCTCATCACTCCTTGCCGCTAGGGACATAATTTTTTGCCAGGAGGGACATCTGCGTTTACATAATTAATCTAGCAGTCATGGAGTTCCAAGTGAAAAGTTGTTCGACTTTATGTTTCTCCTGGTCGATTATGGTAAAGTTTTGTGTCCTTCTGCAAAGAAGCTCCAGCAAAACTGAAATGCTTCTTTTACAAAGAATATATTCCACGAATATTGACTGTTTTGTAGTAGAAAAGACAAGACAAGACAAGACGTTTATTATCATAATATTGTAAGTACAATTTCTTGGCACACAGTTAACAACAAAAAAAAAAAGCTAGTTCAGGTGTGCCAAATTAGTTCCTTTACAAATCAGATATTACAGATAATAAGTAAAAAAAAGCAAAGAAAATGAAAAGAGGAAATATGTGTAATAAATTCAAAAGTAAGAAAGATAATTGTTTAATGCAACCTGTGAAAGAAGTTCGCAATTTTATTTCTCATGTTATCATGGTTGCATCAAGGTAATCATCTTTGTCTTTTAATATTTCAAAGAACACACTGATTAATTTTTGTTTAAACACTTTTTTGATGCATCTATCATTCTACCTGGAATCTCATTCCATAATTTAGCACCAAAACTTGGGACGGCTTGTCTTAGTTTTTTGACCGTTGTTTGTACATCAATCGCTAAAACAATAATAACTACTATGTTGACCAATCAGAGCTCCTGACCAGATTTTGGGCAGATTTTACGCCATCAGTGTGGAATTTCTTTTCCTGAGGTGCAGACGTCCCTGCTGGTGAAGCGGTGAGGATCGAGGAGATATGGCTGTTTTCAAAGACTTTACCAATGGCCCGTTCATATTTTTATTTTAGAAAAATTTGTTTATTCTTTTGGGCGCATTATCCTGTTCATTTTCATCGGGCCTTTTCAAGCTTAAAGTTATAAAAAACATTTTTATGCCCTGAATAGCTATCCTACTTAAGTTGTAACCAGGTTGTAACAATGAAATAATTATTAAAAATTACTGCACACATACACTGCATATAGATCAACGAAAAGATTATTGGTTCTATAGGTACGTTTCCATCTTTAAAATTTATCCAGCATCTTATCATTGTTTTGATAAACGGTAATACTTCAACCTTCAGAATGACTTAGATGCAAACTTAGACCAAAGCATAGGCTCTGAATATAAGAGTTAAGCGTGAGACTTTCTTAATTTCACTTTAAGGAGAACGAAAGACTTGAAATTGAACCTTAGCTCAAATGAACTTCCTGGTACGAAAATAAATTTTAAGACATCATATTAACACTAAAAACAGGTCACCTCACAGCTCAAGATTGCCGAGCAAGTGAAAACGACAATTTTGTTCCTAGCTCAGCTGTTTTGAAATTCAAATTCAAGATAAAGCTTACCTTTCGGATGAATCCTGCAAAAGAGAGAAAACATACCCACTCAGTAATAATATGAGACGAAAATAATTATTGTCTGTCGAAGATGTTGACAACGTTAATGGATATTTTACCTGCGCGGATAGAAACATCGCTAAAAGCCATCGTGTTGTCAAAAGGGCCATAATCGGCGCCATGTTTGTTCGCCTCCGGGTCGTAATACATTTTGGCTAGATCCCTTTAATTACTTCCCTTCAAAAATGCAGAGGCTTGTTGATAAGAACTTCTTTTCAACGATAGACAAAAAATATTTCGCACAAAGCAAATAATCCGTTCTTGTTTTACTTCGCAAATCGTGCGGGACTTTTCCGGGAAACGACCGCCAAATTATAACCTGACGTCATCTGTACGGTGATTGGATGAGAAAGTGGCCAGACTGGTATCGAGCGTGAAGTACACAAAACACAATTAAAAATTTGAGACTAGCAAATGAACCCTTTATTAATTTCAAAAAGCCTTCTGTTTCGTGTTAAAAGGGTGCCCATTTTCAAAAGTCGACTATTTCGGGAAAAGAGCCTCCTCGAAACTACCAAATTTCAAAAGTCATATGGTCTGAATGGCAGTTTCAGGACACAAAAAACTGAAAAAACAAAGACAAACAAACAGCAGCAACAAGGAACAACAACAAAAACAGTTTTTACTAATCGAGAAGTTGCTGTTTTATTTGTAATGTATTGTAATTTTGTAGTATGTTGCCCAGTATCCGGACTGTTAAGTTTAACATTGCAATAACTTCCCCTTGTTAGTTGTAAGAGCTCTGATATTTGGCCCTGAGAAAATCTCTTTAGTCCTTAATATGACGAAAGACATTTAAACTTTTTTTTTCCTTCGTTTCCATCGCAAAATTAACATTTTTGCAGAGCTCCTATGTTGCCCAGTGTCCGGACAGCTGGTCCAGTATCCGGACTCAAAAATAATTGTACATAAATTTCGACAGGCAAGCGACTTATAAGCTTCTCTTACACTTGCAAAGTAGTCTGGCAATCGATTCCAAAAATATAACCTAGCATCGTGAAATAAAACATAAGAGATCACTGGGGTGTGGTGGGGAACGCGAGCGGCTGATGGTGTAATTCTTACTTCCTTGCCTAGGAACTTTTTCACTGATTTAAGGAAGGCATCCGAAGACATACCGAAGCCGCGATTAGCCAATCTGCAAACGACTGTTTTTCTTCATTTTTTATTTTAAAAAAGAAAGCTTGAGTAAGGGACCTCGATCCGGCGGTGAAAGGTCATTCTCCTATTTAGTCTGACCTGCAGGGTTGATTTCTTCATGCTCAGTCCCCACAATAAACCTGCTTTTCTAGCACTAATTCCTCCTTCGTTCACGTCTCTTAATCCCTTTGTGACAATTTTCAGACCGTTGCAACCCCATTCTAGAAGTCACAACCGGGGAAAGTATGAGAATTCCAGGTTCAACGCCGACGCTTAATGCAATCACGCGAAACAAACCGAGCACACGAAATCAAGTCGCCTCTGAATGAGTGAAGAAATTTCCCATACGGAGTAGAATAGAATTACATTTTACGACTATATCATATATCCTAAGCTTTAATTATAGTCAGGAGCCCATCAAATGTTATAGTGCAAAAAAAAAAAAACAATCTGTATCAGAAATCTAATACTATTACCTTTCTATTTCTAATTTGTAAGACCCCTAAAGACGAAAGTTAATACTCTTCGCTTCGAGATACCATTCCCCCAGTTAGAAACAAAGACAATTTGCGATTTTCTCATATTTATCATAGCCTGAGAATACTTCTCAAAGCAAAGTACGACTGCAACATGTACAAAACAGCCTCTCGTACAACGCTCCCCCCCCCCCCCCCCCGAAAAAAAATACTTTCATAGGAAAAATCAACAAATCACCGGCATCCACCGAACAGCACATAAACGGGGACATCTTGCGACGTGATCCGTGATCCACTACATAAATCATATTTTTAACTGCATGGATAGGACTCCATGACCTTAGTGAAATCATGATTGAGATGATCTTTATTACAACCTACATAAAAATAGTCTTTTATCTGAGAAGTGCCGCACATGCCTTGCGGTACGAGACTAACTAGTACATTGTCGACCCCACCGCTTACGGGTCTGGTCATGCGCGTGTAAGCTCTCTTGATCACTCTCCTCTACATGGGCAGAAGAGCTCTGGTTCGAGATGGTAACTAGTGATAAAATGCTAAGTCGGATCTTATGTTGATATCAGATCACGTAGATTATAACACAGACTTATTAACCACCAGACAATAAACATCTGAACAAAACATCTGATAAGCTGCATTTTAAAAGCAATTTTTCTTTTTATCTGAACCTACCAATACAAGAAGAAGCAGATAAATGCTATTGTGACAGCCAACTGACAGAGAAGTATGGCATAGACCTACAACATTAAATCATGAATTGTGTCAATATTTACTATGGTTTTCATGAGTGCTCCAGAGCACTCCAGCTGAAGCAAAAAGTTTAATCAGATGGTTGACAAAAAAATCAAATGAAGACAATTAGTTTAAGGTTAGATTAGGCGATCAGTTCTTAAACTTGAAAGAAATCTCAGCAGAATCGAATGGCAGTGTCAAAGTTCATATATATTTTCATAGGTGGGGATGTGAACAACCCAAAACCAGCAGCTGGCAGTGGCCCCTTTGAAAGCTGACATCCAAACTTACCGTAAATCCTCTATTAAGCCCCCCCCTTATTTTCACCCCCCCTCTCTATTAAGCTCTCATGTCATTATGTCCAAGTCATCACGTTGCTATTATGTTGTTATGCCTATGTTCACACTACAAACAGAAGGACATAACACCCTGCTAATGTCGCTTTGTCATTTAATGTGGCATGTGTAAACCAGTCTTTGGGGATATACCCTATTTGTATAAGACAAGCGTGAATATATCTTTCTACCTTAACACTTTTCTCAGGACAATTTTTTGTCTCCATATTCCAAGAAGTACAATCATCTAGTAGCCAATGGCCTAACCTGTGAAAACAGCTGTCTCTCATCACTCCTTGCCGCTAGGGACATAATTTTTTGCCAGGAGGGACATCTGCGTTTACATAATTAATCTAGCAGTCATGGAGTTCCAAGTGAAAAGTTGTTCGACTTTATGTTTCTCCTGGTCGATTATGGTAAAGTTTTGTGTCCTTCTGCAAAGAAGCTCCAGCAAAACTGAAATGCTTCTTTTACAAAGAATATATTCCACGAATATTGACTGTTTTGTAGTAGAAAAGACAAGACAAGACAAGACGTTTATTATCATAATATTGTAAGTACAATTTCTTGGCACACAGTTAACAACAAAAAAAAAACGCTAGTTCAGGTGTGCCAAATTAGTTCCTTTACAAATCAGATATTACAGATAATAAGTAAAAAAAAGCAAAGAAAATGAAAAGAGGAAATATGTGTAATAAATTCAAAAGTAAGAAAGATAATTGTTTAATGCAACCTGTGAAAGAAGTTCGCAATTTTATTTCTCATGTTATCATGGTTGCATCAAGGTAATCATCTTTGTCTTTTAATACTTCAAAGAACACACTGATTAATTTTTGTTTAAACATTTTTTTGATGCATCTATCATTCTACCTGGAATCTCATTCCATAATTTAGCACCAAAACTTGGGACGGCTTGTCTTAGTTTTTTGACCGTTGTTTGTACATCAATCGCTAAAACAATAATAACTACTATGTTGACCAATCAGAGCTCCTGACCAGATTTTGGGCAGATTTTACGCCATCAGTGTGGAATTTCTTTTCCTGAGGTGCAGACGTCCCTGCTGGTGAAGCGGTGAGGATCGAGGAGATATGGCTGTTTTCAAAGACTTTACCAATGGCCCGTTCATATTTTTATTTTAGAAAAATTTGTTTATTCTTTTGGGCGCATTATCCTGTTCATTTTCATCGGGCCTTTTCAAGCTTAAAGTTATAAAAAACATTTTTATGCCCTGAATAGCTATCCTACTTAAGTTGTAACCAGGTTGTAACAATGAAATAATTATTAAAAATTACTGCACACATACACTGCATATAGATCAACGAAAAGATTATTGGTTCTATAGGTACGTTTCCATCTTTAAAATTTATCCAGCATCTTATCATTGTTTTGATAAACGGTAATACTTCAACCTTCAGAATGACTTAGATGCAAACTTAGACCAAAGCATAGGCTCTGAATATAAGAGTTAAGCGTGAGACTTTCTTAATTTCACTTTAAGGAGAACGAAAGACTTGAAATTGAACCTTAGCTCAAATGAACTTCCTGGTACGAAAATAAATTTTAAGACATCATATTAACACTAAAAACAGGTCACCTCACAGCTCAAGATTGCCGAGCAAGTGAAAACGACAATTTTGTTCCTAGCTCAGCTGTTTTGAAATTCAAATTCAAGATAAAGCTTACCTTTCGGATGAATCCTGCAAAAGAGAGAAAACATACCCACTCAGTAATAATATGAGACGAAAATAATTATTGTCTGTCGAAGATGTTGACAACGTTAATGGATATTTTACCTGCGCGGATAGAAACATCGCTAAAAGCCATCGTGTTGTCAAAAGGGCCATAATCGGCGCCATGTTTGTTCGCCTCCGGGTCGTAATACATTTTGGCTAGATCCCTTTAATTACTTCCCTTCAAAAATGCAGAGGCTTGTTGATAAGAACTTCTTTTCAACGATAGACAAAAAATATTTCGCACAAAGCANAGGCTCTGAATATAAGAGTTAAGCGTGAGACTTTCTTAATTTCACTTTAAGGAGAACGAAAGACTTGAAATTGAACCTTAGCTCAAATGAACTTCCTGGTACGAAAATAAATTTTAAGACATCATATTAACCCTAAAAACAGGTCACCTCACAGCTCAAGATTGCCGAGCAAGTGAAAACGACAATTTTGTTCCCAGCTCAGCTGTTTTGAAATTCAAATTCAAGATGAAGCTTACCTTTCGGATGAATCCTGCGAAAGAGAGAAAACATACCCACTCAGTAATAATATGAGACGAAAATAACTATTGTCTGTCGAAGATGTTGACAGCGTTAATGGATATTTTACCTGCGCGGATAGAAACATCGCTAAAAGCCATCGTGTTGTCAAAAGGGCCATAATCGGCGCCATGTTTGTTCGCCTCCGGGTCGTAATACATTTTGGTTAAATCCCTTTACTTCCCTTCAAAAATGCAGAGGCTTGTTGATAAGAACTTCTTTTCAACGAAAGACAAAAAATATTTCGCACAAAGCAAATAACCCGTTCTTGTTTTACTTCGCAAATCGTGCGGGACTTTTCCGGGAAAACGACCGCCAAATTATAACCTGACGTCATCTGTACGGTGATTGGATGAGAAAGTGGCCAGACTGGTATCAAGCGTGAAGTACACAAAACACAATTAAAAATTTGAGACTAGCAAATGAACCCATTATTAATTTCAAAAAGCCTTCTGTTTCGTGTTAAAAGGGTGCCCATTTTCAAAAGTCGACTATTTCGGGAAAAGAGCCTCCTGGAAAGTACCAAATTTCAAAAGTCATATGGTCTGAATCGCAGTTTCAGGACACAAAAAACTGAAAAAAACAACGACAAACAAACAGCACGCAGCAGCAACAACAACAAAAAAAACAGTTTTTACTAATCGAGAAGTTGCTGTTTTATTTTTCTCTTAGGTTTGTAATGTATTGTCATTTTGTAGTATGTTCCCCAGTATCCGGACTATTCAGTTTGGCATTGCAATAACTTCCCCTTGTTAGTTGGAAGAGCTCTGAAATTTGGCCCAGAGAAAATCTATTTAGTCCTTAATATGACCAAAGACGGTTTAACTTTTTTTTTCTTTGTTTCCATCGCGAAATTAACATTTTTGCAGAGCTCCTATGTTGCCCAGTATCCGGACAGCTGGTCCAGTATCCGGACTCAAAAATAATTGTACATAAATTTTGACAGGCAAGCGACTTATAAGCTTCTCTTACACTTGCAAAGTAGTCTGGCAATCGATTCCAAAAATATAACCTAGCATCGTAAAATAAAACATAACAGATCACTGGGGTATGGTGGGGTACGCGAGTGGCTGTTAGATGGTATAATTCTTACTTCCTTGTCTAGGAACTTTTTCACTGATTTAAGGAAGGCATCCGTGGACATACCGAAGCCACGATTAACCAATCTGCAAACGACTGTTTTTCTTCATTTTTTATTTCAAAAACAGCTTGAGTAAGGGACCTCAATCCGGCGGTGAAAGGTCATTCTCCTATTTAGTCTGACCTACAGTGTTGATTTCTTCATGCTCACTCCCCACAATAAACCTGCTTTTCTAGCACTAATTCCTCCTTCGTTCACATCTCTTAATCCCTTTGTGACATTTTTCAGACCGTTGCAACCCCATTCTAGCAGTCACAACCGGGGAAAGTATGAGAATTCCAGGTTCAACGCCGAGCACACGAAATCAAGTCGCCTCTGAATGAGTGAAGAAATTTCCCGTACGGCGTTGAGTAGAATTACATTTTATGACTATATCATATATCCTAAGCTTTAATTATAGTGCAAAAAAATAAACAATCTGTATCTGAAATCTAATACTATTCAGTTTCTATTTCTAATTTGTGAGACTCCTAAAGACGAAAGTTAATACTCTTCGTTTCGAGATACCATTCCCCTTAGTTAGAAACAAAGACAAGTTGCGATTTTCTCATGTTTATCATAGCCTGAGAACACTTCTCAAAGCAAAGTACGACTGCAACGTTTATTACAGTCTCTCATACAACGCTCCCCCCCCCCCCCCCCCCCAAACAAAACCCACAGAACCCCGCGCCAGAGCAGAGGGTGGGCGACGGCAGGCCCCGGCGAC